AGAAAAACTTAGAGAGGGAGCTAGGGTTTTGGCCAAGGGTTGAAAGGCCAGACCAAGGAAGAAGGAAGATGGTTTGATTGTGGATTAGAACCAGAGTAGTAAGAGGCTTGACGACAATCAAAGGTCACCGGAAATGTCTAAGCAGAGGACGGTTAAAGGTTTCAAACCGAAACCTTAAGAGGCAAGTTGTATTTCTTACTCATTTCCTTTGACTTGTGTTCTGTGCATGCTTAGAGAATCTTCAGGACTTAATTGGACGTTAAAGTTAATCTTGTATGCATGTTAATCCAATGATTTAACCACATTGGGTGTTATTAATTGTAATTGATTTACTGTATCAATTGTTACATATTATGTATGTTAATTGTTATGCTGATGCATACTGTATTTATATGTATTTTTGGATAAATTTTGGACATGGATTAGATCCTAGGAACCTTAATAAATCGTTACAGAGAGTTCTGAACATCGCCAGAGGTGAAAAGGATGATCGGGAATCAGTTTACGGCTCTTAGGGAAAAAGAGCCGGCTCTCTAATAGAGGGAGCCGGCTCCCTCATGGATAGAGCCGGCTCCTACTTGGAGGGAGCCGGCTCCTAGCACTACAGAGTCGGCTCCTATTTGTGGGGAGCCGGCTCCCATGAGGGCAGAGCTTGCTCTCGAAGTTTGGGAGCTTGCTCTCCCGCTGGAACTTGCAGAAATTGATTTTTTTTAAGTTCTGTTTGGTAGTTTGGGTTGTTCCAATGGCATTGTGACAATTTAGATGAATCAGATGGTTGAGATGATGGGACTAACACCTATAATGCATAATCTACATTAATAAGTTAATGGACTTGAAAAATATGACACTTTAAGTAGGTTTGTGTATTGTTATTGAAGGAATAAATTGCTTGCTATTATTTAGCAATTTAAATTGAGGAATAATGGAGTTAAACTAATTCAACCAATTAATTGAATTTAAATAGTTTAACTATGTCTTGGAGGTTAAAATAATCTATTTGAGATGCATGTTAATTTATGATTGTAAAAAATTAAATGCATTCTACTTAAAGTTATTATTTTGCTGGAGTAGATATCTATTTTTTTTTATTCTGCTTGTTTATGGAATTAGTTGATATGTTATGTTAATAGTTTTCATCAATTATTGGACTGGATGGATGTAATGCACCGATATGGGACGGTGGCATTATAGGGACGGATAAACCAAAGAAGTTAAATACTTCTTATTGTGGATTATATGCACCGGTATGGGACGGTGGCATATTAGAAACAGATTAGATCAAAACGCTAATTCCTACCTATTCTGGAATAGGAAAATGAATTAATTATAATATTAAATCCTAATTATATGTCGTGTCAATGTAACGAACAGTTGAGCGGCACTGCTTTGGTTTTGGATAGAATTTATATATATAATTATGGTACTGCGATATGAGTTTGGGTCTCAGGATCGATTATTAGGGAACATATATGCATTGGGATGCATAGTTGGCTATGATGGTAGAGGTATACTCTGTTAGGCTTAGGTATACATGTCCACTTCAGGTGCGTTTTGCATGTTGCCTTCTATTCAGGTTGAGACCCCATTTGTAGTCCAGTGAGAGTCCTTTAGTGTGGATATATATTTATATATAGTTATGGACTATATAGCTATTGTTGGGGTTGTCTAGGATGTATCTGCGTATCGGGTCTCTACTTGGACTGTAGTAGAGTAGAACTTGTTTGTGGGCCTGACCCACCATCGTTTTTCAGGTATTCGTCAGGACTAGAGATTGTTCGTGCTGAGCAGGGATCGTCTACTTCATTCTTCAGGATTGTCTACATAGGAGTTCTCTTTATGATTCCAGTATCTAGTTGTAGGTCGTTGGATGTTCAGTTTTGGTTTTCCAAGAGTCCACATATTATGGATTCTCGAGTTGTATAAAATTGGAGGATTTTTTGTATCCGAAGAATGTATTAATGGAAAGTTTGTTATGAGGTATTATTTATAATTTTAGTTTCTGATCAACATTTCAGTTATTCTTATTTTTTTCATTTGTTGTATTCTGTGTTCGTTTATTACCATTTGTTTTTTATATCCTCGGGTATTCGGGCATGGGCCTGGCCAACCCGCGTATGAAAATCCGGGAGTATCACATTACTTAAAGCAGAATAATAAAAGTCAGTTCATTAATTACGGTACGACAGAACATAGTGGTTGTGGGTCGCTTTTCTCGACCATCTCGGCATAATCATTTGGGAATAATTCGGCCGTGTCATTGGATGGTCAAGCGGTTCAATTTGGGTAGTGGGTTAAAGGGGATTGCCAGTGGGACGGTAGGGACTGATGCGGTCTATGGGTTTGACGAGAATAGCGAATTGGCGACGGTGAAGTGACTGGAGATGATGGAGCACAGTGGTGCTGTTTTTGGTGGCTGTTATGGATTGGTTTCTTCATTTTGCCGTGTTGCTCCATCTTCGTCTTCAACTGACCGTTGTCTTCATCTTTGTCTTCAACTTGCCCCAATTTTCTCCTCCACATCTTTCCATCAAAACCCCTAATTTTTACCTTTCGAAACCCCCCCCCCCCATAATTTTTCAACCCAAAAAGGCCAAGGATGATTCTCGACATCAATACCGTCTGCAATTTGGTCGAAACTACTCACCACTGACAATAAAACAGTACCGGGGAAAGATAAGAGAGTTAGGGTTGCAGTGTTGGTGAGGTGGGATTTAGGTGGTGGATGAGCAGGAATGGGGATGATGATGGTCTGGGGAGGAGGAAGAATAGGAGATGAGAGGAGATTAGACAAAAGGGCATGCCATGTGGAAAAACAGAGGGGTAGTTTGGTCACAAAAAGAGTCAACATGAGTTCAAAGGATAACATAGTAATTTAACACCTCAAAAATACTTTGATCGCATCAAAAATTGACATTTGGGGTGTAAGTGAAATGCTAAACCACTAATTCATATATAAGTGAAAATTAAAACCAAAATATTATTCTAGTTAAAAAATGACCTAACCTCATGGGGTCTGAGTGTAATTTATCTTAAATAGTAAGGTCAAATTTGATATTTTCACAATTTATTTAATGGGTTGGATACATGTTTGGGTTAATGTGATAACTTTTTAAAGTGTATGGAATTTTTTAAAAATAAGTTGGGAGTTTATGCATAGTTGTTAAAAGCGCCAAAGGCGCACGCCTGAGGCGCAAGGCGCCACCTTGGCGCCTTGAAAGGCTTAAGCCGAGGGTGTTGAACTAGGCGCGCGCTTTTTAGTCTAAGGCGCAGGGCTATAGCGTGCCTGTTTGAAAAACAGTCTTTTTTTAAAAAATTATTTTGTTATTATTTTGGTTGTGACAGTTGTGTATGTTTATTATTTGTTTATTTCTACTTTTTATTTATTTATTACAAAAGACTTGGAAGTTACAAAGCAAAAAAAAAAAAAGAGACAGAGTACTAGTGATCTGCGAAGCGCCGAAGCTTGGACTCTCGGATCTACATCTGCCGGATCTGGTAAGTTCTCCTTCCCTCTTTTCTTCTTATCTCCTTCTCTCATTCTTGCTTCTTCTTCTCGTCGGTATGTTTTTTTTTCTCTTTTCTTCTTTTTCTTTTCTTCAGTTATTCTTCTTCTCAGTTCTCTCGGCTCTTTCGAGTCTCGACTCTAGTCTCTTGCTCTTCTTTTTTATTTTATTTTATTTTATTTATTTTATTATTTTATTCTTCTTTGAGCCAAGTCTCGGCTCTTCTTTTATTTTTTTATTTTTTATTCTCTATTCTTCTTCTCTCAATCTCTCGGCTCTCTCTGTCTAGTGTCTGCTCTTCTTTTATTTTTTTATTTTTTATTTCTCTATTCTTCTTCTCGGCTCTCTTCTCTCTGCTCTTCTTTTATTCTTTTATTTTTTTATTTTTTTTCTCTATTCTTCTTCTCGACTCTTTTCTCTTTGCTCTTCTCTATTCTTTTATTTATTTTTTATTTTTTTATTATACTCCATAATCCACCAGTTGGTATATGGTATCATACAGTCCATATATGCATATATATTACATCTCATATAGTATATAAATCTCATATAGTATATGCAAGTAATAAATGTGTGTATATAAATGTATCAACATGTTATACATCTCCTGCCAGCAGCCTGTATCCATCTTTATCTTGATATGTGAGTGTATAGACCATAGAGTACACCATCTTTGTCACTTTTCTGGTTTGTGCAAATACAAAATCAGAGGAAAAACAGAGTTACAATTTACAAACTTACAAGAATATATATGGACAGGGGTAATGAAAATAACTAATTCTCCTTAGTTGACTTTTGCATTTTTATGTTAATATGTTTGATTATTCACTTTGAACTCAAGTATTTGATTTAGTTGGCTTTGGCATCTTTATGTTGAATTGAATATTGAACTTAAGTAATTTATTTAATTGATTTTTGTATTTTTATATATATTATTATATCTTTAATATTTTATTGGGTGGGTTTTGTTTTTTTTTTTTTTTAACGTATGTCTTACTTCAGTCTTACTTCAGTCGGGCGTACGCCTCGCCTTGCGCTTCAAGCTCCAGAAGACATTTGCGCTTTTGTGCGCCTTGGGCCTTTAATGTTTATGATTAAAATTTAAAAATAACGGGTTTTATTATTTAAGTCATTTTTTAAAATAAAAATATTTTTAAGAGCAATCCCAACGCGCCTTTAAATACCATAAACAAAGAGCGCATGATCTAGACGTTAAACCGGTTAGATACATTGGGCTTACCTCAGGTGGGCGTTTTGTGTTGCCCACGTCACGACACAACTTCGTCATCAATGACTTCAAGCAATAACAGGTCCCACTTAAGAAATACCAATCAAACGGTGGTGAATGCCATAAACAATTGTAGATTCGACTATGCAATTTCTTCACCAATTTGAACGGACAAGATCAAATTCCGCATCAACAATTAAACTGCGGCGGCACATATCATGAATTACGGCTTTTGTCTGTTCGTTCTTGAATACTCCGTAATAATTGATAAAGAGTCAAACACGTTATACTGAGGAGATTCTGAAGCCACCCAGGAAAGAAACTGGAGTGAGAAAGTTCATATATCTATTGATTTGTTTGAAAGTTCAAAGATGCACCCCGTAATAGGTGACAGATTCTAAGAGAGAGAAATTTCATACATCAAAGACAGATGTTAGAGAGAGAAAATTCTTAGTATTTCATATGGAAGCCACTCAAGAAATCTCAGCTCCACTTAGTAAGTATTCAATTTCTTCACTTCAGATTTCAGATTCTACTTATTTGTTGATGCCTACACGACTCTTCTATGTGAATTAACAGTTCAGCAGAGCAATGCCTCTGGTTCGTACACGTCACCCGGCGAATCGTCCGGCGACGAAAACTCTCCGATCGAGCAAGTGGCGCTCACAGTTCCGGTCACCGACGATCCGAACCTACCGGTTGTGACCTTCCGTACGTGGATTCTCGGAACCCTAGCTTGCGTTCTGCTCTCCTTCCTGAACCAGTTCTTTTGGTACAGGAGAGAGCCGTTGACGATCACGTCGATCTCCGCTCAGATCGCGGTGCTTCCTCTCGGCCACTTCATGGCGTCGACGATCACGGAGCGAGTGTTCTTCAAGGGGCAAAAATGGGAATTCACGTTGAATCCGGGGCCGTTCTGTGTGAAGGAGCACGTGCTGATCACGATATTCGCGAACTCCGGTGCGGGGAACGTTTACGCGATTCATGTCGTTAGCGCCGTGAAGATATTTTATAAACAGAAGTTAACGTTCTTTGTGTCGTTGATCGTCGTTATAACGACACAGGTGTTGGGGTTCGGGTGGGCCGGGATGTTCCGGCGGTACTTGGTGGAGCCGGCGGCTATGTGGTGGCCTCAAAATCTAGTTCAGGTTTCGCTGTTCAGGTACATGCTGGCTGAATCTTGATTCTCCTATCACATTTGCCTATTTCTTTTAAATTATTCGTATTGTAATTCTGTATGCGGACGAAAAAAAGGAGAGTAAAAAAACCAAAAATTGAATATCAGGTTACAAAGTTTGTATTGTACGGTAGCATGTGCCTTTGCATAGGCATGTGACGGTACTGGATGAGAGGGAATCTGGAATCTGCTTTTAGGTGCTGTAGTGAAACAACTTGTTAAAAAAAACAAAAAAACACTGTCACACGCACATAAGTCTAAAATTTACTCAAAATGGTTTGCCTTCCTATAGTGCCATGCACATTATAGTTCTAATGTATAAAATGCTTTTTGGTTGCAAATATATGTGTACATAATGTGATACTTTTAGTTTTAGATTACATGCTTTTAAGAACTTGTTCAGATATCTCTTACAATTTGGACATTTATCAAGTAAATAACAAAAACAAAAAATGATCAATATAAAATGAGTGAAAATGTGGTAAGAATTTCTTATCATTTCTTAATATTTCAGGTTCATTCCTAGTTATGGACCTTTCCAGCAGTTTTCGATATTAAAAATATTATGGTGCATTGTTGTTTATTATTAATGTCAATTGTGGTTGACAAATTGAATTTGCGAAATGGTGAAGAATTTTCTCTCAGAGCACCAATTCATACCCGTAACGTGAGAGCGACACCACTTTGGGAGGATTATGTGACTTAGGGGCAACACCATTATTTCAAGCCATGAAACAATGGTGTTGCACCTCGATTTGATTCGTCTTTATTACAATTAAGATATATGTATGGTGTCGTTTATAATAATAGTTGTATACATGTTCCATCATTTTTTCTAATTATGTTGTTATTTTACTTAGAAGTTACAGAGAGATAGAGAATCACGGATTGCTACAGATTTGGAAATTGTTTCCCTTCTTTAGATTGTTTTGGAAAATGGGGTGGTCCATTCTTAACTGTCTATTGGCATCCCTACTCGTGAGCATCTATTGGTCCTATTTTGTAATTTGACTGTGCATAAATATAGAGATAGGGGTTATGATTGTACAACAATTTATATAAAATTCATTGGATTAGGTGAAGGCAAAATGGAAGCGATTATAAAATTTTCTGGATCTTAACCACATGATATTTCACCAAATCAATAACTATTGAAAGAATCTCATACCTTTGGACGATTGATTAATCGTCAACACTCTGAAAATATAGTTAATTGGATTGCTCCTCCTTTGGCCTTGAACACCAGTAAAACTTCACCTCTATATCCCCGGAACACACAAGTTTGTGAAAACCCTATATCTCTCACTCTCAATTATTCTGTATCGGGTTTGTGCATGAAAAATTGAATAATTAACCTGAGAGATATATCGTGTATATAGATGGGGCTAGAGATGAGGATCAAAAGGGATTCTTATCATAACTCCTATTAGATAGAGATAGAGTTATCTCATAACTTTATCCTATCTAATTAATTACAATAAGCACCACAATAATATTGTAATTGCACTCTAGGATTTAGAAATTACAACAAGGTCCTGTCATACTAAATAACTACATATAAGTCCTTCCACTACCGAATATACATAACTAGCCCCAAGGAAAATAAATATTGTCCCACCTAAGGCATGGTTACATCTTATATTCCTTGAGTAACCAATTTAATACTTATGATCACTGAATTTCTTTTATAAAAGAATTTTTCAAAATAAATATTTTTTCTCAATAAATAATAGAAAAATAATTTAGTAAATATTTTACTAAAATGTCCTGGCCAGGTTCCAGTGATCAAACTTATAAAATTGCACCAAGGGGATATTCTAACTCTTATAGAGTATGGATTCCATGTTGAGCATTTGTGTTCCCAGAGCTCCAACATTAGCCACCCAAGATACCATGGTATTGACTTTAAAAGATCTCACATGTTAGTAAGTCAAAGTGATCAATACTGAAACTTGAGTCTACTAAACCTCTCAGGATTTAGAGCTTAATGTATCTAGTAGATAAGAATCACACCAAAATAATAACTGTAATTTGTATGGTGTGATCTTACGGTGATCCAGTTCACTGTACTCCAAGCACACTAACACACTGCCTTAGAGTCAAGTACCCCAATGGTCGAGACAAACCATCCTATCTTATAGAGGTCAAGTGTGTTACAGTCTTACAGATAAAAGTGTCCAACTTTTATCTCTGACTGCGAACAATGCCAAGGTGCAAGAAACCGGTGAGCCTAAATCTCCTGCATGTAAATCTCATTTGCACACTTAAGTCACCTATAATGCAACTTGAGGACAATAATGCATCTCATACAAATATATGTAAAGCCCAATGCATGAATATCACATTTATTAATAAAATATCGAATTAATAATAAATAATTGGCTTGTAGGGCATATGATCCCAACATTAGGATCATCTAACTTGAATGTTGTCTAAATAATAAGTTGAATTGCTTCAGGATTCACATGTGGATCTTTTTAATGGGGGATTGCTTTAAATGTGGGAGACACAATAATGTAGATCGTGTATTATTTTCTATGCGTCAAGAGTGATCAAAAGAAGAGCTCATCATGCATTCTTTTTTCCGTAAGGTAAGTAAAGTAAGAACCATGAGTTGTTCTCATAGTAGACTTAGCTTCGTTCTCTCGATTTCCTTTCATTTTTGGGAGTATGGTTGGTTGGTAGGAGGGATGACCTTCCCTCTAATATTCCTTTTTATTCTGCTTTTGCTCTTCAAACAATAGAAGGCATATCCATTATCCAACCCTATTTAATTAAAAAAAAAAAAAAACTTATTCTCTCTCTTGCTTATACCAGATGGACCATTAGTGATAACAGTTGGATTTCCTAATGTTGACTGCTGATACACCCTTATGTGGATAATCTGAGTCCATAACTTAAATACAAGCCGCTTTAACTCTCTTACGGCATGATGGACTTGATTTTGTTCAACTTAAGACTGCTTGTGCAGCTTGATCTGCATTGATCAATTACTTATTCTATACCAGCCACAATAATATGCTACCTCAAAAAAATATGGAATTATCTTTTTTATATAGGCAAGCAGAGATGGAATATGGTGTTCAAGTTCCTTTGGATATTAAAACGCACACGTGGATTTACTACTAACTTACGTACTTTACCATTTAGGCTACGATGTTTTTTTCTTAGCAAATTCATTACCTTGGTAGGTGATGAGATCAATGTAACTTTCATTAATTTTTAAATGATAATAAAATTTCAATCAATTTTTCATTATTTACCCCACTATATCAATTAGTGAACTAAATGAGGCAACTGCATCCAGTACACCAAGCATTTCAGTTGGAATGAAGTTTCCAGACTAACTCATCAACTCAAATCAACAAACTCTTGTCCAAAATTTGAAGTATTTCACTCTGTTATGCAAGTTCTTTATGCCATTTTTTTCCTTTTTGATCCTTTCTCAATATTTAACCTGTGTTTTATTTTACATAATTCTTGTCTTTTGCAAGTCTACAATTTGAATCAAGTCACTTTTTGTACTTATGTAGCATTTGGCCTTCGTTGCATATATATAGCTAAGACCCCAAGTCTTATTTTGCCTTCATTTTAGATTTTTATGAAATAAAAACGTGTTGCTTCAGTGCCAGATTTAAGAGCATGAAGCATGATTTGCCTAAACAATATGAATAGTGTTTTTGGATTTAGAACATGCTTTGCACTTTATGACCAGAAAGTCTTACACTAATGAACATTTAAGGATGGTGCTGTGCAAGTGAGACTCGTGTTTCCTTCACGTTGAGCTTGATGACTAAAACAATTTGGAAAAAATGTGCAATCATTTAACTACCTTTCTGTTTTTGCAATTTAAAGTCAGTGTAAGCAGTTAAACTGGATGGTACCAAGTGATGTTTAACTTTCTGTACTCTTGAATTTGTGGTTTTTCTTTAGTTACTCATTTCATCTTCAGTTCAACTTTCTTGAAAATGGCAGGGCATTACATGAAAGAGAAAAGAGGCCTAAGGGTGGATTAACACGAACCCAGTTCTTCCTCATCATCTTCATTTGCAGCTTTACTTATTATGTCTTTCCAGGTTACCTCTTCCCAAAACTAACCTCCCTGTCCTGGGTATGTTGGATATTCCCTGCTTCTATCCTGGCGCAACAGCTAGGTTCAGGACTCCACGGTCTCGGGATTGGTGCAATTGGACTTGATTGGTCAAGCATATCCTCTTACCTTGGGAGCCCACTTGCCAGCCCGTGGTTTGCTACTGTCAATGTTGCTCTCGGATTCATCCTTATGATGTATGTCATTACGCCAATTTCCTATTGGCTCAATATCTACAAGGCCAGGACCTTTCCAATATTTTCAGATGGCCTCTTCACATCCAGTGGCCAAAAGTACAATATCTCAACAATTTTAGACCAAAACTTCCACATTGATTTAGAGGCCTATGAGCGTGAGGGCCGTCTCTATCTCAGTACCTTATTTGCTATGACGTATGCTGTTAGTTTTGCCTGCCTGACTGCCACTATTGTTCACGTCTTCCTCTTCCATGGAAGGTAAGCTGCAATTCTTAGGTTGGGATAGCTCCCTTGTACTTTGCAATCTGCTTATCTTTATATTTATGAGGTTTATCCAATATCTCAGATGCACAATTCTGACTTACTTCTTCAAGTCTCTTTTCTCCATTTCTAATTTGTTCATCAAGATTGTCCAAGATAGTAGAGGCTAGATCAAATTCCACTGTCAGTTGTACTCACTTTTCCAAGGGTGTAGAGAATTATTGCAGCTAAGCAAGTCTGCTTTCCAAGAGAAGAAGATGGATATCCACACAAAGCTTATGAGAAAATACAAGCAAGTTCCTGAATGGTGGTTCACATGTATCTTTTTGGTGAATATTGCATCAATCATATTTACGAGTGAGTTCTACAACGATCAACTTCAGCTACCATGGTGGGGTGTCTTGCTAGCATGCAGCCTTGCCTTCTTTTTCACACTGCCTATTGGAGTCATAACCGCCACAACAAATCAGGTACTATTCTATGCTCTTTCTCTAGTACTATACTGCAAAATTACCCAAAATCATCTGAGTTTAAACTGCCGGCAAGATTGTATTTCTCTGTGTAAGCTAGATATATCTACTGATGTAGCAATGGCATTGCTGAAGGATTTAGAGGAGTGTCTATAATCACTTTAGTTTAGTAGATATATGCATACATTCATATATATGAAGTTGATTAAAATTGACCTATGATATTTACTATTATTTACAAATACTTGTTAAAATAACTATAATTCTAACATCCAATCTCTCATTTGTAAATAGACTCCAGGCTTAAATGTGATCACAGAGTACATCATTGGGTATATTTATCCAGGATATCCAGTTGCTAACATGTGCTTTAAGGTGTACGGGTACATCAGTATGAAGCAGGGGGTCGCCTTTCTGCAAGACTTGAAACTCGGTCATTACATGAAAATTCCTCCAAGAGCAATGTTCATGGCCCAGGTTTGTTCTTTTCAGTTTTTTCCCCTTCAGAGAGAACTAAAAGAGAACAATAAGTATCTAATTTTTCACCAGTGAATTTCTAATTTATCTAATACCTAATAGGTCAGTGCTTAATCCTGTTACGATGGATGCTCTGATCAGGTAGTTGGTACTCTAGTATCAGCGTTGGTGCATTTAGGAACAGCATGGTGGCTCATGGCCACCATCCCAAACATATGTGACAGGGCCCTGCTACCTGCCAGCAGCCCTTGGACCTGCCCCGGTGACCATGTGTTCTATGATGCTTCTGTCATCTGGGGCCTGATCGGGCCACGCAGAATATTTGGAGATCTTGGCTACTACTCTGCAATCAACTGGTCTTTTTTAATTGGGGCTTTAGCACCTCTCCTGGTATGGCTTGCACACAAGGCCTTCCCGAACCAGCATTGGATAAAACTACTTGTAATGCCTGTGCTCTTAACTGCAACGAATCAAATGCCCCCGGCCACTGCTGTCAACTACACCAGCTGGATTCTTATTGGTTTTATGTCTGGCTTTATTGCTTATAGGTATTACCGGAACTGGTGGATTCGTCACAACTATGTCCTATCAGGTGCACTTGATGCTGGGTTAGCGTTCATGGGTGTATTGTTGTACTTATGTTTGGGGATGCAACATGTTAATTTCAACTGGTGGGGAAGTGAATCGGATGGATGCCCATTGGCTTCTTGCCCAACTGTGGAAGGCATTGAGGTTGAAGGCTGCCCAGTTATTGTGTGAAGTGATATTTTAAGTATAGAATTGTGTTATTGTTATTTATTATTATTATTTTTTTTGTATGATTATGACTATTCATTGTATAGATCTGTCTGTATGATTCTTCATTGTAGCACCTTTTTCATTGAAAATTCTTTTTGTAATTTAAAGAAAACGAAGTAGGTAATTGTTGGTAGAGGAGACATTTATGGGGGATTTGTTTCTATTGGTGAGTTGATTCTCCTTGAATCGTGTTCCCTAATTGGTGGTGTTGATTCTCCTTAATTTAATGGGTGATCGCTATAATCGCTATTGAGATGCATACAATGATTAAGAATTATTTTATTTTATTGGCTTCTTTCTCGACTTCGTTCATCATTTTCACAACAATTTCTTTAATTTCGTCCGCTACATTTCAGTGGTAGTGGTGGTTTGCTAATTGCCATATGATGAATGGGATCAGGGTATCATTTATGTGAAAACTAGACATTTTTATTAAATTTAATGAATATTCTCTCGTTTCAAAATAGTTGTTAATTTTTTTATTTTAAAATGCCTCAAAAAAACATATGTTCTATTTTAAAATTAAATATAATATTTTAAAATTATTTTTTTAATTAAATAATTGCACTAATTATAAAATACTATTTTATCTTTTAATAAGGATATATTTAGAACTTCATTCACTCTTATTAATATAATATAAAATTATTAAAACTCTAAGTTAAATTCTGTAAACGGAAAAAGTAACATAAAAAGTAGAATCTTGTGGAAACTATCCACTATGGAAGATATTATGAATCCACATATAAAAAAAGCAAGATTCATAATTTTGGACCCCACGTTGTCTTTCTTTTGTTATTCACCAATGCAAGAGTATTATTTTCACATGAATTTAAAAACATCCATTCCACAAACAACTTCTTGCAAGTGGTGGAATAATGGCAACTTCTTGCAAGTGGTGGAATAATGGCAACAAGCACACATTGTAACAATAGCAACCCCATGAAACCTCTCTACAAACCAAAAGCTTCAATCCACCAGAAACTTCCTTAAACGACCAACCCCATTGCCAATCACCTCAAACCACCCTTCAAACCACTAAAACAACCCATCTATAATGTTGCTACCTCACCAAAAAACATCCCACTTAACAACAACAAACATAGAGCAGCTCCCATCCCATATCAACAGAAACCTCCCAAACTGATCAACCAAAAAACCTTACTTAAAAAACCCCACACTACTACCTTACTTACACAAACCTATCACCCACCAATCCCATCCTCATTCTTTGGAAAGCCTCAAATTCACTTCCCTGACTCCACCATTAACTCTATAAGGTTACCTTTAAATGACACACGTTGCACTACTTCCTCACCTCCTCACCATACTCATCAAACCTCTCCTAATACCCCTCCTGTCAACCCTCTTTTACCTAGGAACTTTAACCCTCTCCTCTACTCCTCCCCAGTGCATCAGATTGATAGGCTGCAAGAGCAACTTGAATGGAAAGATGAGAACCTCGGGAGAGCCATGGACATGTACAATACTCTCAAGAAGACTGTCTCTGAGTTGAGAAGTGAGCTGGCTGAGCTCAAAGCACAAAAGCAGATCCATGTTCAACCACCTGCCACTGATAAACCACCACCAACCATTGCTCAACCAGCCACCACCACCACCACCTCCACAGGTGGGCCACAACCAATCAAAGAAAGATCAGGTATGCTTTCAAATTCAAATTCAAAATTAGATTCACTACCTTTGGTCAATCCTCCTCTGCAGGCCCTTACATCATCCTCTCCATAACCTATCTAAAAGAGTAAAAGTGCAAACTGTTTTCCAACCAACCTCATTTCAGACACTACAAAATTGCCAACTTTATACTTTCAGCCAAACTCTCCACAAACATTGGCCCCACCTCCCCCCCCCCCCCCCCTCTCCAACCTAATCTTACACATAACTGACAACCCAACAATAAATGCATCTATCCCCCACAAACAACCACTCACTAACCAGCAGATAAAACCTTGGACTGAGGTTGTGATACCCCTCGGATCCAAGACACGGGTTGATCAGGCCCAGGCCCAAACCCGTGGGATATCAAACAATTAATATGTAATTGAACACAGAATATAAGACGAAATAAGAAATAAAGATAATAAACTAGAGGAATGCTAACTGGAAATCTTTAAAATATAAATACCAAAATCCATTAATCCAAAACTCCATAAGTTTACAACTCGGGAATCCATCCATTGGAACCCTTATTAAAAATTCTCCAACCAAAACTGAAATAATAAATAAATATAAAATCCAAAGCTAACATAGAAAAGATTCCTACATAATCGGAGGAATGAATAACTGTATCTGCTCTGCACGTCCAAGCTCTAACCCTGGAACTGACGAACACCTGAGAAATAAAGGAGTGAGTCAGGCCCACATGCAAGTCCCGATCTACTACAACCCAAAACAGTAATCTGATACGCAGATACATCCTAGGAAGACTCAACAATATCTAGAGTAGTCCATATACGTATATAGTACACACTATAGAACGTTCACTAGTCCAGTAGGTCTGTCTCAGCCTGAATAGAAGGCAACATGCGAATACGCACCCTAAGGTGGGCATGAGTACCTAGACCTACTAGGGAACAACACCTATGTCCAGTTATCCATCCTAGGCGATATACGCGCCCTAACCATGGTCATGAGACTCAAGCTCATACCACGACACCATATAATATATATATAAAGTCTGTACTCCTCCTAATATAGTATACCATCCATTTGTGTAGTGGTCTGATATATGTACAACAAATCCATCCTGAAACCATAGTAGGTCATACAATTCACAATTGATATGACACATGTAGGTGATGGACTTAACATTTATGATTAATCCATACCTTAATCCAAATTAGGTAGGACTTAGTGTTGGAATTAGTCCATACCTAGTATGTCACCGTCCCATACCGGTACATACCATCCTTCAGTTAACAGAGTTGATAAAACAGTACTAGATAGTCATCAACCCAACTTCCAAAATATGCACAAACCAAATTAATCCATAATTATAAAACTTAGGCATTCAGTCCAGGCCTAGAAATTATATTCCAACCATTAAATTTGCTAATTATGAAACATAGCATTTACATCATGCATCAAATCCACTAATTGATAAAATTAACTGAATTGTTGTATCAATTTACTTCCAACCAAACATAGCTAATTCCAAGAATTTTTTATGCTTATAAAACTGTCTAAATATAGTTAAAACAGTATTAAACAAAAATCCCAATTCCACTCCATTAAATGACAAAACAAAAGTATGCAATCTACTTCTCCAACAATACTATAACTGAAGCAATCCATATCCAGTTTAAACCATCAGTTAATTCCATCCATGTATCCACCTAACTATACTACTATATGCTTGTATCACAACAAAAACATGAATAGCAGTTTAAGATTTGGTAGAGAAATTAAAATTCCAAAAACAGTAACCCACAGACAGTTAATTTTCCAATCATCCTCCTACCAGTTCTCTATCTAAATTCGGATTAATTCCATCCTCATTATTTGAATGTAGGCTTGTTCCCCAACACTTTTATAAGTCTTAAACATTATATTACAACCTTCAGTAGCTTTCAAAAAAAATTTAGAAATTCAAACCTCAGCCAAACGGACCATAAAACTTAGTTTCTGGACAGTTTAAGAGAGAGCAGGCTCTAGAAATTAAAGAGCCTGCTCTTTGTTCCTTCAGAGCCGGCTCTAGGCTCCTTAGATCCAGCTCCACAACAACTAAGAGCCAGCTCCAACCTTCTAGGAGCCGGCTCTAAGGGGTTTTAAGAGCCTGCTCCCTTTTCCCCTTAGCAGCTTCGTCCGTTTCGTCGTCTTCTCTGATTTCTGTGAGTACCAGTTCTTGTAGTAACTTTTAGTGCATGTTTTAAGGTTTAATTCAGTTCCAGATTGATTGTCAAACAATGATATACCATCAAAACTTGAATTGAAAACAAAATACTACACAACGGAGCAAGGTTACAGAACTACAGTTTATTTACTATCTTTCTGAAACAACGAAGAACAGGTTCAATTCCATGAATTTAAACATTGATTAAATATGCATAAAGGTTATAATTAAGCCTTAGTTTAATCCCTGGAGTCTTCCTAAACATGCACAGAACACAGATTAAAGAGATAGAGAAGAACAAGACTTGCCTCTGAGAGTTTGAATTAAAAACTCTAACTGTCGTCTCTATAAACTCCGACAACGTCAACTTGTTGTTATCAACCTCTGCCACTCCTAGTTAAGACCAAAACTCCTCATTGAATCCCTCCCTTAATCTCCTAAAGTTTCTCTCTGTAAACCACACAAGCTCCCCCTCTGTTTCTCTGCCCTCACAACTCTCTGTATGACTCTGTTACGTGACTCTGTTACTGAAGGTGGTGAGTAGGGTTTACAAAAACCCTAGGCAGACGTATACCCATATATTTATAGAGTTATACCAAACCCTAAATTAATTCAAGCCCTAACTAAATCCTAACCGGCCCATAGATCTTAATTAAAACCTGTGTCGGCTAAATAAACTAAACCCTAAATTATAAAACAGTTAATTTACATAAGCACGCAATTAACAAAACTTAAGAAACATAATTAAATAACAAATTAACCTAAAATAGTTTTATTTAAAACAAGTAATTCACGAAATGCAAATAATTAATTAAACAAATATTTAAAACAATTTAATTCAAGTAATGCAATTAATCAAGCAAATAATTTATTTAAACAAACAAAATACAATTTAAACAATAAATGTAGTAAAAACACACATAAATAATTAAAATAAAGGTCAGGACTATCCTTTTTAAAATTAGGGGTATTATAGAGGTGGTCAAGCAAACCAACAAAATGAGCCTTGACTACCTACCACCACCTCCTTCCTCAACGTACATTGACCCACCTAAAGAAGTTATAGAGGAAGGGATTAATTTCTGGGCCTCTTACCACATTGTTGGGATCTCTTTGCATAAATATATCCCATTCAAAGTTGTTCAACTTGCTGCTGACAAACTTTGGAAACCTCTTGGGCTCACACATATAATCATTGGTGATAATAACTCCTTCATCTTAAGGTTCAGCTCTTCTTCTCAGGCTGACAGTGTACTTTCAAAGGGTCCATGGTCAATTGCAGGGCACCCCTTCTCACTCATGAAATGGAATCATCAATCTCAATCTCAGCCACTAA